AACAACTGTGAATTTTCAACCTGTTTTTTCTTTTCTGAGGCCAACTGTTGGGCTTCTCTAACCAGTTTTTCTAACTTGTCATTTGGGGAAATATCTCTTTGGACCATGACAGAGGTCTGATTGCTCTTGGTTCCTTTAAGGGCAGCATTCCTTGTGGAAATTCCAGCACGGAGATTTACTTCCAGGAGTCATGTTTAGAATGCCCTGGAATCTTGGGACTTCCCGTGTAGTCCAGTGGGTAAGACTCCGAGCTCCCAATGCAGGGGGCCTGGGTTTGATCCCTGGTCGGGGAACTAGATCCCACATGCATGCCGCAACTAAGAGTCCACATGCCGCTACTAAGAAGCCCGCATGCTGCAACTAAAAGATCCCACGTGCCACAGCTAAGACCTACCACAGCCAAAATAAATTAAAAAAAAAATAGAATGCTCTGGAATCTTAATAACAGCTAAAGTGGAGGGTAAAAGCGTTACATCCAAGAATTCCTGAACAAAGGGGCCATTTAAAATTTTATATCTGCTGGAAGAAAGGAAGCCACATTGCTTGTAAAACAGTCCAAAATCATGAACTACTCTGAAAGCATATCTGCTATCAGTATAAATATTAGAAGTTTTGCCCTTGACTAAAGTACAAGCCTGTGTAATGGTATATAATTCAGGCTGTTGGGCCAAAGTAGTCATACGTATAGATGGTGCCTCATCAGTATCAAAAGGAGTTGCAATAGACTAAACAGCACAGTATTTACCATTGTCACCTTTTAAGTAAGAACCATCAGTGAACCATGAAAAGCCAGTGTTACCCAGAGGAATTGCCTGTAGATTATCACCAGGAGTCAGGAGGTGATCCATCAGCGTTAGGCAGTCATGAGAGATGTCATTGGTGATGGTGGGAAGAAGAGTACCAGGATTAAAGTTATTACACTGTAAAAGAGTTACATGAGGAGTAGTTAACAAAAGGGCTTCATAGGAGTTGAGGGGGCTCACTGAGAAAGGTTGAGTGTAATGAGAATTGGGGAGGCCTTCTACTGCATGAGGTATAAAAATGGGTAATGGGGATCCCACAATAACTTTCTTGTGGCCTTAACCAAAAGGGCAGAGACAGTAATTGTTCTAAGGCAAGAAGGGTATCTCCATGCCACAGGGTCCAGTTATTGGCTATAATACCATATGGGTCAATGGTGGTCCCAGTGTTTTTGGGTGAGTACCCTCAGGGCATTCCCTTCCTTTTCATATACAAAAGGAAAAAGAGAATTTGATAACTGGGATGTCCAAACACAGGCAGGTTCATCAAACTCTCCTTTAAGGCCTTAAAAGCTATGTTGTCTGGTTCTTCCCATCAAATTGGATTGGAGTTGTTATTGCTTAGTAAAACATACAGAGTTTTGGCCATAAAAGAGAAATTTGGAATCCAATTTTGGCAACAAGCAACTAGCAGTTGGCACTTAGTTTTAGGTTTTTGGAAACTTAGGACACCACGAAGTCTATCTGGATCTGGGTGTGGTCCTTGTTCTGATATCAGATGCCCTAAATATGAAACCTGGGTTTGGGCAAACTGATTTTTTTCCTTGACAATGTTATGTCTCTTTAAGGCTAAAAGCTTTGACATATGGATGCTGCCTTCCGGTGAAGAGGCTTGAGAAGGAGAGCACAGAGATTTCTTTCACAAGTTACAACAAAATAGAACTTCTAGGGAACTTTTTATCACCTGGATAAGCCTTCAGGATTTGTGAGAAATAAGTAAGGGCTGAGGCATTACTGCCCATGTGAACTGTTTTTCTTACCAAGTGAAGTAAAAAAAGGTATTGGCTAGGGGACTTCCCTGGTGGCGCAGTGGTTAAGAATCTGCCTGCCAATGCAGGGGACACAGGTTTGATCCCTGGTCTGGGAAGAACCCATATGCCGCGATCAACTAAGCCCGTGCACCACAACTACTGAGCCTGCACTCTAGAGCCTACAAGCCACAACTACTGAAGCCCGCACGCTCTAGTGCCTGCATGCCGCAACTACTGAGCCTGTATGCTGCAACTACTGAAGCCCACACACCTAGAGCCTGTGCTCCACAACAAGAGATGCCACCGCGCTGAGAAGCCTGCGCATTGCAATGAAGAGTAGCCCCCTCTCGCCGCAACTAGAGAAAGCCTGTGCACAGCAACAAAGACCCAACGCGGCCAAAAATTAAAAAAAAAAAAAAAAACGTATTGGCTAGTTTCATCAACTGGAATACTAAAGAATGTACTGCATAAATCAATTACTGTAAAGAAATTGCTTTCAGTGGGAGTGGATATTAGTAATGGATATTAGGAACAACAGGGTGTTGAGGGATAACAATGTTGTTTATTGCTCAAAGGTCCTGGACAAGCATCTACCCTTGGCCCTTAGGTTTTCTCACTAGCAAAATGGGAGTATTGCAGGGGCTAGTGCAAGGGATAATGATGCCTTGGCCCTTGTAATCTTCTGTTATGGGCTTTATGCTTTTTAGAGATTCTTTCCTATAGAATATTGATTAATTCTGAGCAGAGGTTTTGAGAGATCTATTTGAATATTGATGGGAGGTGTGCTGTGAATTTTGCCAATATCAGTTGGAGATTTTGCCCATAATAAAGATGGTAGCTGGATTGATAGGGACAAACTATCAGTGTTTCCAGAATCAGCTCTAGAATCATTAGAGATGGAGCAAATAAAAGATGTCAAGGGGTCATTTAATTCACCTGGTTTGTTATTTCAATGACTACGCTGAAGTTCTAGAATTATTTCTACCTTTGCAATTTTTTTTTTTTTTTGCCGCACTGTGTGGCTTGTGGGATTTTTGTTCCCTGACCAAGGCCCTTGGCAGTGAAAGCGTGGAGTCCTAACCACTGGACTGCCTGGGAATTCCCTTTATGATTTTTTTTTTCTCCCTTTGGAAGAAAGAAATTCCAGCATGATACTTCTCTAAGAAGTCTCAGCCTGATAGATGGATGGGGTTGAGGAACTAAGGAGAAAAAGGCATGTATCTCTCAAAGGGCCAAACAAAAGGAAATAAGTTCAGGGAGAGGCATCTCTTGCAGTTGATTAGAGATCCCCACTATTTGAACTGTTTTAGTACTTCGAGGCAGGGGCTATTTCATAGTAGTGGAGTCAAGCACCGAGAGTGTGGCTCTGGTGTCAGTTAGGACTGGAACAGATTCATACCCAATCTGGAGAGACGTTTCTCCAAGCAGATTAAGAGGGATGATTGGGAAGAGCCCCTGTAGTTTCTCAGAGCCCCATCATTGAGAATTGGGAGGACGTTGGAAAGGCTTGTTAGAGGGCTGAAGGTGCCTAAAGCACTTAAAGGTATAACAATCTCTTTTCCAGTGTCCTAGCTTTTTGCAATAATAGCAGAAACTAGGAGGGTTTTGTTTTTGTTTAGGGGTTTTTATTTGCTGGAGTTGAAGAATTTTAGTGTGGTTTTTTTTGGTTTTGTTTTTTGGGGTCTTTTTTGGCCACTCCACACAGCTTGTGGGATCTTAGTTCCCCGACCAGGGATCGAACCTGGGCCATGGCAGTGGAAGCGTAGAGTCCTAACCACTGGACAGCCAGGGAATTCCCTAGTGGTCTTTCTTTTAGGTGAATCATCTAGAGTGCAAGAGAGTAAGTTTGTCAGATTAACTAAGTCTGGAGTGGACATATTTTCCCATTCTATCCTGATCCTTTTTACTAGAAGGGAAAGGTCCTGGTTCAGCCCATTAATAAACATAGAGTTAAAAGCTACCCAGGTGGAATAAACATCTGAAGGAAGACCAGAATTTTCTTTAAAAGTAATCTGAAGTCAATTGTAATAGTCATGAACAGATTCATCTGATTTTTTTGTGCAAACCTAAATTTTGCTGCAATCAACAGGCTTTGGAAAAGGCCTAGGAGTTGCTTCATGAAGTTGCCTAGCAACTGTCCAAGCTTGATCGTATAATAAGTTAGCAAGCTGCTCTCCCAGTTGTGATTCTAGAGACTTTCAGGATTTTCCCAATTACCAGTTTTCATGCAGTGCTGGGCCGGGCCTTTACCAACAAGCATATGAACTAACTGATTTAAATCAGAGAAACAACGTTGACAAGTTTGAAAGACTCTATTAAATTCCTCAGCAAATCTGTGAAGATCTTCGGTTACTTTGGGGAAATATTTGACTGTGGCTCGCAGTTTAGCTTTAGTCCAGGGAATATAAGAAATTCAGGGTTTAGTCTCTGGATCCTCAGAAGGCTTAATGTTAAGGGGACAGGTTCTGATAAGTTCAGAGGAAAAAGGAGTGGGGAGGGTTTCAAAGAAATATGAAAGTTCAATGAGAGAATTAGTAAGGGGGAGCTGACGGTGTGGAGGAGGTGTGGGTATAGAAGTATAGAAGGGAAGGCGGAAGATGGCGCCGGACGTGAAGCCTGAGCACAAGGCGCCAAGGAGGAGGAGCACGAGGCTTCCGAAGCTGCTTCATCTTTCTTTAATTGCTTGTTTGCCTCAGTTAACCTTAAAATCCTATTTTGCAGACAGGCTATTTTAGGGTCCTGGTGATATTTGGAGGCCTCAAAATACCAATCAAAATAGGCATTTCATTCAGTTTTGGAACTCTTAGAGCTGTGGTAGTCCAATTTGGTTTTAAGAACGTTGAGTCTGGGGATTTCAAAAGTTCCCCATGATGCCCATGGATATTCTAAATTGTCTTTGGTGAAGTCAGTCCGTTTTGTTAGAAATGCGTGTGAGGAGGAACAAATGAACAAAGTTATATTCTATTAAACACAAAAATTCTATTCCTTGCAATTTGGGGTCCAGACTAGGAATATGACCAGGGGCATTTCATTTCCTTTCCTGAAATGAAGAGGACAATAGTAACTAGCTAGTGATGATTCGGGGACCTGGTACTTTGATAATATTTAAAGGATAATTTCAAAATATCAGAATGTTAGACATAGGGTTAAAAAAAATTTTGTGTTGTTCTTCTTAGTCACATTCAATTTAAACATATTGGTGTTACTCATAACCAAAAGGTATTTTTATAACAGGGAAGAAATACTTAACTTCATTTATTTAGAAGCAATAGAAATAGAATTATTAAAAGAGCTCTTAGATGAATAAAAGTAAAATCAAAATAATCAATTAAAATTGCTGCTACCACAGTTAGCAATAGATTACACATAAAGTTTGGTAATATTAGAAATATTGGCACTTAATCTTAATAGAGCTTGAAAACATTAGCAGCATGTAATGTTGTTGCCCTATGCTGTCTAGAGCAGTGCTCTGATCGTATCTGTTTTCACTGGGGTTTAGCTTTAATTAATACATCCACATCAGCTTTGTCTGCTTCTCCAAGACTTTTTTGATGGCTCTCAACCAGGACATTGTCTTCCTTTTTTCGGGGTCTCTGGGAACTACCATCTCTGTAAGCTATAGAAGTTCCGAGAGCAACAAAGTTGTGCACATCCTGCAACTTCTTACGCAGCCATTCCACTCTTTCCATGGAGCTCAGATGCTTGCCCAGGTTATGCATAAGCTGTATTTCACTCACAGATCTCTTCCTAGAGGGAACAGAATCAGAGAGGATCACTCCATTAGCTCCCCTCTTCCAAATCATAAAGCCAACCTTAAAAATCCAATTCCCATGCCCTCACCGTGCAGAACAGGCTATGGTACTTACTTAACAGACTTCCCTTCTGATCTTGCAAGAAAACAAACCACGAACATGACAACCATTACTTTAACCATGTCTTTTGCAGACATCATCTTCACTAAAAGAAAAAGAGAAATGGAGGCATTTAAAATATTTTTAATATTCCAAACAATACAATTAAATTTATAGTAGTTTATATTTATAATCATACAACTTTGTACAGAGTGTGACAGTAACTAATTGGATTGTTTTTCATGAGAGACTTTTGGAATCAGCCTCTTTATTTTACAGTATATGTAAGTATATATTATATATACAGATAATTAGTGTATATTATGTATACACAAAATTTGACTTAGAAATTAGACAGATTAGCTTTACTTTCTTAGGTATCTTTTTGAGAGTTCTTGTGCAAGTTTTAATATATGAATTTAAGCTACATGAAGAATGAAAAACCTTACTGTTTAGAATTTCCTCCCACATTTTGTGTTATGACTAAATACACAAGAAGCTTGAAAATGGCTACTTCTTAGTTATTTATTTATTATTTTGGCTGTGCCGGGTCTTAGTTGCAGCACGCAGGATCCTCCTTGCAGCATGTGGGATCTTTAGTTGCGGCATGCGTGCAGGATCTAGTTCCCGACCAGGGATCCAATGCAGGGCCCCCTGCATTGGGAGCATGGAGTCTTACCAACTGGACCACCGGGGAAGTCCCTACTTCTTTTAATTAGGTAAATTGTCAACAGTGTTTGTTGACTTAGCAAATCTCTTTTTCATAAGTAAACTTCCTTTCAACGCAATGGTAAACATAAATGTCAAATGAATAGGCTCTGATTTAGAGATTTTTACTAAATTAACACACACTTCTCCTACCGTTAAAAAGAATGTGTCAAAGCATTTAAACATCATCTAATTAATTACTTGTTATATGAATTTAGAGCTTTGACTCCATATAAAATGCCTGTCTGTATCTTATCTTTTCAGCTTATTTTATTAACAATTTTGTTTGAGTATAATTTTTAGTACATTCCTCTTTTGCTTTTAAGCTTTTCATCTCAAAATAGAAAAGTCTTACTGTAATCTGCATTTCAACAATTGCAAAGCCTTTTATCATAGACGTGCCTTTTCTTAATACTTAAGGTTCTCCGTTTTAACATACACATAGGGTGGCTATGTACTCATATTTTAAACGGAATCTGCATCATTTAGAAGTAGCATAAGGAGCATTATAATCTACTATATTTATTTTCACTGTGCAATATAAAGCTATTGAAGGAGGAACAAATGAATATTCTTCATTTTTGGTTTGTGTTAGAAACAATCATTATAGCCAGAGGACAGAAGCTTTGGTGTCCTATTCTAGCCTTGTCACATTCACCAAATGCCTCTGCCTTGCTTCCTTGTTCTTAATAGAGAGATGAGGTTCTTACAAGAATGTCATTTAAAAAGCTGAAAAATGGTTGTAAAACATCCTTAAAATTCATGTACAGTTTTCAGAATAGAAAATTAGAAAAGGCTTTATGTAAAGGGAATAAATATTCAGCAGTAAAACTGAGTTTCTCCAACTATAGTACACAGATTGAGCTCTCTATGAGGATATTCTGGAGGAAAAGTGGAATTTTAACTCAGAGAAATAAATTTACATTGATTACTTAAATCAGAATTATTCATTTCTCATTAGGCTGTTTTATTTCAAAATTTTAATAAGATACCATTAAAGCACATCATGCCAAATTTTAATTATTTTTCATGTAATTTCAGATGAGTTTATAAAAAGCAAGGCCTCTCAAAAGACTTTAATCACAAAAATAAATGATTTAACAATATTTTAGTAGCATAAATTTATTTTTTATTACAGCATTTTTAGATTAAATAATATTCAAACCCTCCCTTAACATTTTACCTTGAACAAGCAGCATGACATTGTAGAAAATGGTACACATTAAATAATTGCTTGATCATAAAAAAGAACTCATATGAAATTTAAAAGAGAAAATAAAGATTACTCACCACACAATGTCTTAGGACACGATCTTCTTTCAGGTGTATTAGCAGCTGATGCTTTCTCAAAGTTGAGTAAACCTGAGAAAGCTGATGAATTGAGTTGTAGACCCTTAAATGTGACTTTTATATATAGGTCTTCCACACACCAAGAGAAGCTTTTTTATTGTTACGGATGACGTCACTCCCAATTCTCTGAATTTTAACTATAGGATCAGAGCAGCACACACACTCCCATGGGGCGGTGCTCATTCCTCTTAAATTTTAGATAATTGGATATTAAAAGGAAAACAGTGTGGGGCTGGGAAAAGGATTTATGCAAAGATTTCTAACAAATAGTGAATTGTAATTCTGACTGGATTAGTGAATTTATATTACAAAAAAGACTGACTTCAGAGATTTATGGCAAAGTCATCACTTATTTGAAAGTAAAATCTGAAAATAAGTATATTTCTTATAACCATAATATTGGCACAACTATTATGAGGATTATAATGAATCATATTACATTATGCTTACTTTACAAGCCATATTCAACCAATCCATATCATTCCTGATCATCTTTCAAAAAAATAGGTATAGTGCTTTTCTTAAAGGAAGTGTTAAAAATGTTTTGAGAATATGCTCTTAGTACATAATTAATTTGAAAGGCTTCAAAGGTGAAATTATTTTAAAATTCATTTAACTTACATTTTATCTCTTTTTATTTTAATTTGCAATAAAAACATTTGAAAAGCAGTAACTATATGCCAGACTTTACATATATCATCCCACTAAGTCTTCACAGCAATCCTTTAAAGTAAATACTATTATCTTCACATGAGGAAACTGAGGTTTGGAAAATGAAGAAGATGGAGTTCAACAAAGGTCTTTATGATTCCAGAGCTATTTTAATTCTTACTACCTCAGTTTCCCCTTAGAAATGTAGCCCTTCTTTGAACCCCAGTCTCCCTGACTCTAATTTGCCTAACCCTTTCCAGACTCTTTGCCAGGAGTTGGGTCTTTTTTCTCATGTTCCCCACCTGGTGATGGAGGGCCTGCTCCAAAACCTAATAGAGGCAAGATGCTACCACCTGTCTAATTTCAAATATTGCTACAGCCTTGTCCCCATCTATTGATCAAAACCCCTTGAATCCCCTTGGTATATCTAGGGTTCGTTTAGGCAGCTTGCCTCCCAACTAAAGCCCCAGAATTGGATTAGTTCTCTTAGCTCTGCTCCTACCCAGGCTTCATGTTATCCTCTTTCCTGCTAACTCTTGCCAAGCTTTGACTCTACATCAAGTGAGAGCCAGTCCAAATTTCAAATACCTGTACAGAGGCTAGAATGAAAGATATGTGTTAGTGCTGTTCTGAGGAATCCTCTACACTGAGCAAATCTCATTTGGAGTAGTGTTCCAGGCTCCGTTTCAGAAGTCTTAGAGACAAACTGCAACGTGCCTGGAGGATATGAACCAGGTTGGTGAAAATGTTGATAAACATGACATATCAGAAGGAGTTGAATCAAACTGGAAAAGTCTGGAAAAGAAAAGACTTGGGATGATGATGTAGCTGTTTTTAATTCTTTATAGGGCTTCTACAAGGAAGAAGGAATATCTTCTGTGGTTTAAGAAGGAAGGACTGAGTCCAATGGCTAAAGATTACAAGGAGGCAGATTTGGGCTCAACTTGGATATCGTAATTGTCAAAATAAAGAATCAATTACCTTCCTAAGTAGTGAGTTCCCGATCACTGGAAGTGTTCAAGTAGAAGCTGGGTGAGCATCTATCAGAGATATCATAGAGATTCATACAGAGCAGAGAGTTGAACTAGATAACCAAGAGGTCCCTTTCGACTAAAAAAAAAATCTATTGTTTTGATCCTTTAAAAGACCTCTTCTGATGCAAAGTCGAAACCTGATGTTTGTGTACCATTTTTTCTTACGCTCTGTTAAGAAGTAGAAGAACTGGAAAAATAAATGGTTTTATAAACACATTTTTTGATTGTTATTATAAAGCCATGTTTAACATTTTAATTTGGAGATTTTTCCCACTTCTTTGGGTAAGTTCGGTATAACTGACAGCCTTCCAGGAGTAATGCACACTGTTTTCACTGTCTTCCTCTTATTACAATTATTTAAAAATAAACTGCCATATTGAAGATAACCACATTATTAAACTAGTTTTACAGAAAAATGAAGAAAACAGACAAAGCTTATTCATTCAAAAAATGCATTGAGTATATACTAGGTATCTGCCGGAGGCTGTGTTAATCACTAAATGATTGAGACATGATCCTTGCCCTGAAATTTGACATATAAATTGGAATATAATATAATAGGCGTTATAATAGTCATATTAACAGAGGCTTACAAAAAGCACAGAGGAAGAAGTGACTAATTTCCCTGTAGTTGTTGCAAGTTGTTTTCCTGAGAAGCTTAAGTATTCTCAAGGATGAATGAGTTTTCCATCAGAGAAGGTGAGAAAGGACAAGAAGGAACAGCATGTGCAAAGGCATAGAGGCAATGAAGACTGAATACACGCTAGTGGGAGGAGAGGGGAGATGGGTAATGACCCTAAAAAAGTAAGTATGGTACAAGTTATGGAAGTCTTCTGTGTGTATGCCTAGGAGTTTTATCTTGTAGTCCTCTCTAAACACATGTGTGCATTAGTAATATTTTGTGTCCTTTGGATTTTGTAAAGTACTACTTTGACCTTCCCACAAAGAAGAGACACAGCTGCCAAGATTTGGCACATAGTTTATCTGAACCATCAGCCTCTGGGACTGTAGACATTAGATAGAAGGAAACCATTTAGGAATAAGAGGGCTCAGGGCTATGTGGGCATAAGAGGCTGATGTCAGAGTGACAGAAAAGAGCTGAGCATAGCTTTTTCCTTTGAAAAGCTCAGCCTTTCTCAGCGCTCTCAAGTTCTCTGAAGCTAGAATCAGACAACCTACTGTATTCCTCCTCACATTCGGTAAGGATAAAGGGTCATGTGTTATTTCCCCTTGCATTATGGGAGGTTTAATTTGAGACTGATACTTTTTCCTTCTGTTTGCTCAATAGGAATTAGTATGGCTTTGGGAACTTAACATCAAGAAGAAACTTCCAGCGCTGGGAAATCCAGCTATAGGTCTCCTATTCCCATGTTTTGTCAACAGATTAATTGGTGACTGTCTTAACAGTTGACCTACTCTTTTGCTTTAAGCTCTCCTGTGGGTTATTGAGCTACTGAATTCTTAATATGTCAGACACAATTTTCCTCCCTCCTACTCACCAGCCCTCAGACGTTTCTGTTGTTAGAGACAATGAGTAAAAATGTTTTAAAGGACAGCATACAATAACTGTTGAATTTTCCACTTGTTTTTTATAATATTCAATTCTTTATTTTTCTTTCTCCATAATCTTTATTGATGGATATTTCAAGTGTGGTTCTCTGATAGGCAGCGTTTAATAAGCCATTGATCTCTTTATATGTATAAGCTGTTATAAACCCTGGGATACATTATACCTGAGTAGCCCTTCAAAGATGAAATATGCAGCTACTTTCACAAATAAAATACTACTTGTTGCTTTTTGTCCATTCTATCAGTGAGCGTCCCTCCCTGCCTGTATTCCTTCTCCATGTTTATGTGGAATGGAGGAGTGTTAAAATGACATGCACTGTTTTCACAGTTAGAAAAAGGCATCTCTGCAGGTGGGGACTGAGGGTAAAAAGATTCTGGATGCCTGGGATGAGAGAGTCCTTCTAAGTACAGCAAGGAATGTCACAGTGTAAACCAGGGTGTCACTTGGGGAAGCCTTGGGATCTTTACTGATTGAAAAGATTTCTAGTAGTGCAGATGCCTCTGTAATGTTCTCATGATATAGGTAAGCACTGGAACAAGTCCTTGAGTGTTCCTCATTCAAAGGCCCCCTGAGATTTAATTGTACCCTCTGTTTCTTAAAGAAATGGAGGTGCGGGGGGAAAGTAGGCTTTGAGAGTTTTCATTTTTATTTTTGGAACCATAAGGAAGTTGGACAGCCATAGCAATTTAATGAAGAAGTAAAGTCTCACATTTTTAATGACCCTTTTCAGTGAGCTGACCAGACCACTGATGTCACCGCTAATTCTAAACATTCTTCTTTTATTGTCTCGTAAATATACTTTTCAGACCAAGTGTTCTCATATACTTTTCAGACCAAGTATAGACAATATGTTTTCCTCAGTAAATGTGAATCTTCCCTTGGAATAGATTCTTAGTTCTGCTCCATTTTCCCTTTACCCTTGGTAGAATATTATATGCAATATATGACATCAGAAAAAGAAATACAATGTCTTTCACATCCCTTCCCAATAGTCAACTGGAGCCAATAGTCTGTGTACCTTGATTCTTTCTTTATGTTTTAAAATAGTGTGGGGAAAATAAAGCAGGACAGGGGGTATTGGTTTCCCATTAGTGAAGCTTTAAGTCAAATGATCTGGGTGCTCAGAGTCTGAGTTAGGAATGCCAGCATGTCAGTCCAAATTACCATTTCAATCCAACATAGTAAAGATTTGTTGAGCACCTAAAACCAGCCAGTCGAGAAACAGTAGCAATTTCCCTGCTCACAATCTTCTCCCTTAACTTTTTTTCCTGTGATTTTTTTTTAAGTTAGAGCATCTTAACTTTTCAGATCTCAAATTCTACAACTCAAAGTAGAATACTGCCTTCCCTCCTTTTAGTTATGAGCTTTCAGAGATGAGCTATCATATGTGAAAGTGTTTTGACTGTAAATGGCATTCAAAAAATGCATGTGGGGCCTTCCCTGGTGGCGCAGTGGTTGAGAGTCCGCCTGCCGATGCAGGGGACACGGGTTTGTGCCCCGGTCCAGGAAGATCTCACATGCCGTGGAGCGGCTGGGCCTGTGAGCCATGGCCGCTGAGCCTGCACGTCCGGAGCCTGTGCTCTGCAATGGGAGAGGCCACAACAGTGAGAGGCCCGCGTACAGAACAACAACAACAACAAAAATGCATGTTGAATCTAAATCTGAAAGGTAAGTGTTCCTTGCCCATTCTCTCACATGCGTCCACCTCATTCCAGGAGTCCCCAGTACTAAACATGGAGAGTGTTGAGCTCCTGGGCTCAATCTGCTCTCTTCCTCCTTCAGCCCAGCCCCCTGAAGTGCAAAGAATTCTGAGGCAGTAGGCAGTTATGGTGTTCATAAATTCCATTTTGAATTTGCTAATTGCACAAAGAATTGTAAAATTTAAACTAAAACTAAGCATATCTTTCTATTGTTAGTAATAAAATGTGCCGAGTGTGACTGGAGAGTGGGCTCCAATGCAAGTTAAACTGACAGGCAGCCCTAGAAGCTATGTTCTTCTCACATCCACCTAGCAGCACTATGCAGTGAAACGCCCAGGACCCGAATATGGAAGATGAGGGTAAATGTTTGGCACTTATTAGTTGCACAACCCAAGTCATTTTAGCACAGAACCATAATTTCTACAGAAAAATAGATATGAACTACTCCACAGAGTTATTGTGAGGATCACATAGAATAATATATATGAATGCACTTTGTCAACTGCATACCTGGTATTGATTAAAATCACAACTAACAATAATAATTATTTTCATGACTTTTCGGCCAGAACCGCCATCTTCCAGTAATTCACCAAAATGACCAACACAAAGGGAAAGAGGAGGGGCACCCGCTACATGTTCTCTAGGTCTTTTGAAAAACATGGAGTCGTTCCTTTGGCCACATACATGCAAATCTACAAGAAAGGTGATATTGTAGATGTCAAGGGAATGGGCACTGTTCAAAAAGGAATGCCCCACAAACGTTACCATGGCAAAACTGGGAGAGTCTACAATGTTACTCAGCATGCTGTTGGCATCCTTGTAAACAAACAAGTTAAGGGCAAGATTCTTGCCAAGAGAATTAATGTGCGTATCGAGCATATTAAGCACTCTAAGAGCCAAGATAGCTTCCTGAAACGGGTGAAGGAAAATGATCAGAAAAAGAAGGAAGCCAAAGAGAAAGGTACTTGGGTTCAACTGAAGCGCCAGCCTGCACCACCCAGAGAAGCACATTTCGTGAGAACCAATGGAAAGGAGCCTGAACTGTTGGAGCCCATTCCCTATGAATTCATGGCATGATGGGTATAAAGAAAATAAAAGACCTGGACTGTAAAATAATAATAATAATTATTATTATTATTTTCATGAATCCTGTTAAGGTCATATAATTCCAATTGGTAGCTTTCTGTGTCCCCATTTTAAGCTGATTGCATGGCATTTCAAACATCACAGAGATGCTCTAAAGGCTTAACCTAGAATGCTATTGACTTCGTCTTTCAACAATGAAGAGAATCTTCAGCATGGCCTAACTCAACAAACTGTCCAAAAGAATGATCTAATGGGTGCAAAGAGAGGCATGAAAATGAGATTCTATATGTCCCTGCCAGGGACATTCTCCAGATGTCTAGGGCAGCAGTAAAGTATGGAAAGTCACTGTGAAACAATTCCAAACATACTCATGTGGTTATTTTACAAAATCAATTAGAGGGAAGGTGATAGTGGAAAGAGCACTAGATTTGGAGTCAGAAGACCTGAGTTCAGATCCTGAAATCACTAGGGTCACCAGTTTCAATAATAAAAACACAGAATACCAGTCAACAATAATATATTCTATATTTAAAGTTTTATTAAGAGGGTAAATCTCATGTTAAATGTTTTTGTATTTTCCACAATTTAAAAAAAAGGAATTAGGGAATTCCCTGGTGGTCCAATGGTTAGGACTCAGCACTTTCACTGCCAAGAGCATGGATTCAATCCCTGGTCAGGGAACCAAGATCCCTGTGTGGCTCAGCCAAAAAAAAAAGAAGGAATTAAAAAAATCCCACAGGACAAGAAGTTAAATTTGAATTAGTTCTAATTACCTATGCAAATGCACACTGAGATTAAAAAAGATATGGTGGGATTCTCTGGTGGCACAGTGGTTGAGAGTCCGCCTGCCGGTGCGGGGGGCACGCGTTCGTGCCCCGGTCTGGGAGGATCCCACATGCCGTGGAGCGGCTGGGCCCGTGAGCCGTGGCCGCTGAGCCTGCGCGTCTGGAGCCTGTGCTCCGAAGTGGGAGGGGCCACAGCAGTGGGAGGCCCCCGTACCGCAAAAAAAAAAAAAAGATATTGCAAGGGAAGGGACATATGTGTAATAAAAATTATTTGAGTTTATCTGAAGTAAATATCTGAATTCTGTACCTCTTTCTTTATTTCCCTAATGACTTGGGTTTTTTTAATAGGTCCTATTTTGTAGAATTTGCTTATCAGGTTTCTTGCAGTTACAGTCTATGTTCCAATTACATTGTTACATAGCTTCTACAGTGGCCACATCCAAATTATTTCATTCTTTTCTGGACTGAACATACATTAATGTGAAAACATGCTCAAGATTATCATATGAGCGGGTATCCTGAACATGTACTGGAATAAAATCAACTCTAAGAACTGCTCTTCAAATTTGATTTGTTGAAGCACATAATATCATCTTTCACGGTATGAACTGCTTTTCCCTTTCTTCAGAATTACATTTCATCTCTTGATCAATGACTCTTTAAATTGCTATCCACTGACAAAAAAGAATATTGTCACCAATTCTGATTCCCCTCTTCTTCAACACTGTACATGATGATTTCACTTGTTTCCAAGCTGGATAAGTATTTAGGACTATCCATGTAAAAGAATCAAATTCTTCAAGGGATGAAATCCATTGGAAAAGATAGCTATGGCAAGTGTCATAATCACTGTCCACTTCAAGTTGGAATTTTTTTTCCCATTCATAAGTAATGTTATCCCTTTTAAGAACAGGTACTTAAAGGGAAACACTTTTCATCAATTCTTTCTTATTGAACATATTTTAAAAGTTCCTATAAACAATGGAGCACTTTAATAACACTGCTGTTCTTCTTTTAATTTGCATAATCTGATTGCCAAAGAAATATTGAAAACTGTGAACAAGAAATAAGGCTCCATTTAATGGAGTATTTAAAAAGTCAACAAGAATTTGGGGAATGTTTTCTTTAAAAAGTATTTTAATGCATCAAGTAAACTGAGCATTCTTTGTGTTTGTGAAAGAGAAGTCAGTGGGCTTTTAAATGTGAGAGAATTGGATAATACTGAATGCCAACAAAATTACAAAAATCATTTAATCATCCAGTTTGAACAGGATAAATATTGAACTATGTTTCTTTTTTTTTTTAACATGTTTATTGGAATATAATTGCTTTACAATGGCGTGTTAGTTTGAACTACGGTTTTTAACTAATAAAAATGTATCAGTATTGGCTCATTAATTATGAAAAGTGTACCATATTAATATAATATGCTAACTATAGGGGAAACTGTGTGTAGGGGTGGGTTTATGGGAACGTGCTGGGCTACCTGGTCAAATTTTCTGTAAATCTAAAACTCTTCAAAAAAATGAAGACCATTGGGCTTCCCTGATGGCGCAGTGGTTAAAAATCCGCCTGCCAATGTATGGGACACGGGTTTGAGATCTGGTCCGGGAAGATCCCACATGCCGCAGAGCAACGAAGCCCGTGCGCCACAACTACTGATCCTGCACACCCTAGAGCCCGTGCTGCGCAGCAAGAGAAGCCACCGCAATAAGAAGCCCGCGCACCGCAACGAAGAGTAGCACCCCGCTCGCTGCAACTAGAGAAAGCCCACGCACAGCAACAAAGACCCAACGCAGCCAAAAATAACTAAATAAATTAATTAATTTTTAAAAAATGAAGTCCATTATTTACTTATTTATTTGTTTTTTATTATTTTTTTAGTGTGGCTGCGCTGGGTCTTCATTGTGGCGTGTGGGCTCTTCATTGTGGGCTTCTCTAGTTGTGGCACCCAGGCACTAGAGCGCACGGACTCAGTATTTGCAGCATGTGGGCTTCTCTGTAGTTGCAGTGCACACGTCTAGTTGCCCTGTGGCATGTGGGATCTTAATTTCCCGACCAGGGATCAAACCCGTGATCCCTGCATGGGAAGGTGGATTCTTTATTTTTTTTTTAATTTTTTAATTTAATTTTATTTATATTTTTATAATATAAAAATATATACTAACATGTATACATGTCAGTCCCAATCACCCAATTCATCACACTACCACCCTCACCTCCCTGTCGCTTTCCCCCCATGGTGTTCATACGTTTGTTCTCTACATCTGTGTCTCATTTTCTGCCCTGCAAACCAGTTCATCTGTACCATTTTTGTAGGTTCCACGTACATGCGTTAATATACGATATATGTTTTTCTCTTTCTGACTTACTTCACTCTGTATGACAGTCTCTAGATCCATCCACGTCTCAACAGATGACCCAATTTCATTCTTTATATGGCTGAGTAATACTCCATTGTATATATGTACCACATCTTTATCCATTCGTCTGTTGATGGGCATTTAGGTTGCTTCCATGACCTGACTATTGTAAATAGTGCTGCAGTGAACATTGGGGTGCATGTGTCTTTTTGAATTATGGTTTTCTCTGGGTATATGCCCAGTAGTGGGACTGCTGGATCATATGGTAATTTTATTTATAGTTTTCTAAGGAACCTCCATACTCTTTCTCCATAGTGGCTGTATCAGTTTACATTCCCACCAACAGTGCAAGAGGATTCCCTTTATTCCACACCCTCTCCAGCATTTGTTGTTTGTAGATTTTCTGATGACGCCCATTCTAACTGGTGTGAGGTGGTACCTCATTGTAGTTTTGATTTGCATTTCTCTAAAAATTAGTGATGTTGAGCAGCTTTTCATGTGCTTCTTGGCCATCTGTATGTTT